TAAAAAATCTGCTAAACACGTGTATTTGACTAATAACATTTGATTTGATTTGATTTGCATACCGCCGCAACAGATCCATAGATGATGCAATCTCTATTGCACTCCACACTGCCCTTTCCCACCTACACAAGACGAACACCTATGTGAGAATGCTATTCATTGACTACAGCTCAGCGTTCAATACCATAGTGCCCTCAAAGTTCATCACTAAGCTAAGGACCCTGGGACTAAACACCTCCCTCTGCAACTGGATCCTGGACTTCCTGACGGGCCGCCCCCAGGTGGTAAGGGTAGGTAACAACACATATGCCACGCTGATCCTCAACACTGGGGCCCCTCAGGGGTCTGTGCTCAGTCCCCTCCTGTACTCCCTGTTCACCCATGACTGCATGGCCAGGCACGACTCCAACACCTTCATTAAGTTGGCCGACGAAACAACGGTGGTAGGCCTGATCACCGACAACGATGAGACAGCCTATAGGGAGGAGGTCAGAGACCTGGCCGTGTGGTGCCAGGATAACAACCTCTCCCTCAACGTGATCAAGACAAAGGAGATGATTGTGGACTGCAGGGAAAAAAAGAGGACTGAGCATGCCCCCATTCTCATCGACAGGGCTGTAGTGGAACAGGTTGAGAGATTCAAGTTCCTTGGTGTCCACATCACCAACAAATGATCATGGTCCAAACACACCAAGACAGTCGTGAAGAGGGCACGACAAAGCCTATTCCCCCTCAGGAGACTGAAAATATTTGGTATGGGTCCTCAGATCCTCAAAAAGTTATACAGCTGCACCATCGAGAGCATCCTGACTGGTTGCATCACCGCCTGGTATGGCAACTGCTCAGCCTCTGACCGCAAGGCACTACAGAGGGAAGTGCGTACGGCCCAGTACATCACTGGGGCCAAGCTTCCTTCCATCCAGGACCTCTATACCAGGCGGTGTCAGAGGAAGGCCCTAAAAATGGTCAAAAACTCCAGCCACCCTAGTCATAGACTGTTCTCTCTGCTACTGCACGGCAAGCGGTACCGGAGCGCCAAAACTCGGTCCAAAAGGCTTCTTAACAGCTTCTACCCCCAAGTCATAAGACTCCCAAACAGCTAATCATGGCTACCTGGACTATTTGCATTGATTAGGCCTAAGCATGCATGGGCGTTGGGCTTAGTACCTGTGTGCTCTGCAGAGCCTCTGAGTGAGTAACTGGGGGGGAGTGTGGATGAGTGGCTTTTGGCAGCAGGTGGTTGGTTTACAGTGTGTGGCTTCAGTGATAAGTTATCAGTAGTCAGACAGCCACTGTACTGAACCACCCCAACCCCACTCCCCACCACGGAGCAGAAAAATACACTTTCGAGGTCACAACTTCTACATTATATTGGGCTGTACTTGTCCATACCAATCTGTATAATTTAGTCTAGTTCAGCCATGTAACAAACCAAAAACTATGGTTTTACATTTGAGTCATTTAGTAGACTCTTTTATCCAGAGCGACTTACAGTTAGATTTTGCCTTTGGCTACATCTGTAAGCAAATGTTAATCAGTATATCAAACTTTCATATCATATTTGTCTCTGATTCATTACAAAGTAAGTTATGATTGTTGTTTGTACATTACCTTTTTACATTCACGCATCATAGCAAAAAGAGGGGAAATTGTGTTATACATGAAACATACATGAGCATGCAGGCGTTTGTGCGTGTGTGTCAAATCAAATGTTATTTGTCACATGCTTCGTAAACAACAGGTGTAGATGAACAGTGAATGCTTACTTACAGGCCTTTCCCAACAATGCAGAAATAAAAAATAAACATGAATAAATTATAATTATAACACAAGGAACAAATACACAATGATTAACTATAACTTGGCTATATGTACAGATACCAGTACCGAGTAAATGTGCAGGAGTATGAGGCAATTGAGGTAGATATGTACATATAGGTAGGGGTAAAGTGACTAGGCAACAGGATAGATAATAAACAGTAGCAGCAGCGTATGTGATGAGTCAGAAGAGTTCAAAGAGTGCAAAAAGGGTCAATACGGATGGTCCGGGTAGCTATTTGGTTAACTATTTAGCAGTCTCATGGCTTGGGGGTAGAAGCTTTTCAGGGTCCTGTTGGTTCCAGACTTGGTGCATCGGTACGGCTTGCTCTAAGGTAGCAGAGAGAATAGTCTATGACTTGGGTGGCTGGAGCCTTTAACAATATTTAGGGCCTTCCTCTGACACTGCCTGGTATTGAGGTCCTGGATGGCAGGGAGCTTGGCCCCAGTGATGTACTGGGCCATATGTACTACCCTCTGTAGCACCTTGCAGTCATATGCCAAGCAGTTGCCATACCAAGTGGTGATGCAGCCAGTCAAGATGCTCTCAGTGGTGCAGCTGTATAACTTTTTGAGGATCTGAGGGCCCATTCCAAATCTTTTCAGCCTCCTGAGGGGGAGGAGGCGTTGTCATGCCTTCTTCATGACTGTGTTGGTGTGTGTGGACCATATTAATTCCTAAGTGATGTGGACATCGAGGAATTTGAAGCTCTCAACCTGCTCCACTACAGCCCCGTTGATGTGGATGTGGGCGTGCTCGGCCCTCCGTTTCCTGTAGTCCACAATCAGCTCCTTTGTCTCACTGATGTTGAAGGATAGGTTGTTGTCCTGGTACCACATTGCCAGGTCACTGACCTCCTGCCTGTAGGCTGTCTCATCGTCGTTGGTGATCAGGCCTACCACCGTCGCGTCGTCAGCAAACTTAATGATGGTGTTGGAGATTTGCGCAGCCACGCAGTCGTTGGTGAACAGGGAGAACAGGAGGGGACTAAGCACGCACCCCTGAGGGGCCCCCGTGTTGAGGGTCAGAGTGGCGGATGTGTTGTTGCCTACCCTCATGACCCGGGGGCGGCCCGTCAGGAGGTCCGGGATCCAGTTGCAAAGGGAGATGTTCAGTCCCAGGGTCCTGAGTTTAGTGATGAGCTTGGAGGGCACTATGGTGTTGAATGCTGAGCTGTAATCGATTAACAGCATTCTCACATAGGTGTTCCTCTTGTCCAGGTGGGAGAGGGCAGTGTGGAGTGTAATACATATTACGTCATCTATGGATCTGTTGGGGCGATATCCAAATTGAGGTGGGTCCAGGGTGTCTGGGATGATGGTGTTGATGTGAGCCATGACCAGCCTTTCAAAGCATTTCATGGCTACAGATGTGAGTGCTAGGGGGCCATAGTCATTTGGACAGGTTACCTTGGCGTTTTGGGGCACAGGGACTATGGTGGTCTGCTTGAAACATATAGGTATTACAGACTGGGTCAGGGAGAGGTTGAAAATGTTAGTGAAGACACTTGCCAGCTGGTCAGCGCATGCTCTGAGTACGCGTCCTGGTAATCCGTCTGGCCTTGCGGCCTTGTGAATGTTAACTTAATATAATAATATGCCATTTAGCAGACGCTTTTATCCAAAGCGACTTACAGTCATGCGTGCATAATTTTATTTTTTTGTGTATGGGTGGTCCCGGGAATCAAACCCACTACCTTGGCGTTACAAGCGCCGTGCTCTACCAGCTGAGCTACAGAGGACCACAACTTGTTTAAGATCTTATTCACATTGGCGACAGAGTGGGAGATCACACAGTCGTCTGGAACAGCTGGTGCTGTTCATGCATGGTTCAGTGTTGCTTGCCTCAAAGCGAGCATAGAAGGCATTTAGCTCGTCTGGAAGGCACTCGTCACTGGGTAGTTCGTGGCTCGGTTTACCTTTGTAATTTGAGATCGTTTGCAAGCCCTGCCCACGCTTTGCCTGTTTGATGGCTCGTCGGAGGTCGTAGCGGGATTTCTTACAAGCGTCTGGATTAGTGTCTCACTCCTTGAAAGCGGAAGCTCTAGCCTTTAGCTCAGTGTGGATGTTGCCTGTAATCCATGGCTTTTGAGTGGGATATGTATGTACGATGTTGTCGATGCGCTTATTAATGAAGCCGGTAACTGATGTGATAAACTCCTCAATGTTATCGGATGAATCCCTTAACATATTCCAGTCTGTGCTAGCGAAACAGTCCTGTAGTTTAGCATCCGCTTCATCGGACCACTTCCATGTTGGTACTTTCTGTTTGAGTTTGCTTGTAAGCAGGAATCAGGAGGATATATTTATGGTCAGATTTGCCAAAGGGAGGGCGAGGGAGAGTCTTGTATGCGTTTCTGTGTGTGGAGTAAAGATGATCTAGAATTTTGTCGCCTCTAGTTGCACAGGTGACATGCTGGTAAAAAATGAGGTAAAACAAATTGCAGTTTCCCTGCATTAAAATCACTGGCCACGAGAAGCACCGCTTCTGAGTGTGCATTTTCTTGTTTGCTTATGGCCCTATAGAGGTCTCTTGGTAAATAGTATGGTCTGCAGCTTATCATGAGGTCTTCTAACTCAGGTGAGCAAAAACTCAGGTGAGACTTCCTTAACATTAGAGATCACGCCCCAGCTTTTCTTAACAAAGAGACACACCCCTCCCCCTTCATCTTACCAGAGGCTGCCGACCAGTCTTGACGATGCATGGAAAAGCCAGCGAGATGTATATTATCCATATCCTTGTTCAGCCACGACTCCGTGAAACATAGAATATTACAGTTCTTCATATAGTTATTTTTAGTTGTGTGTGTGTGTGTGCATGTGTGTGTGTACCAGCTTGTGTGTCGATTTTTGTTGACCTAACGGTAGATAATGCCACATCAATCTAAATTTAGAACCTGGCACAAGTTTCTCACTTCAGTTTAATGTTTTGTCACTTTACTGCAGTTGAATGGAAAATGGAGGATTTGCATCCTTACCCCCAACAGAGCCTGGACAAAGACACCATTATACCCCAGCAAGTGAGAGTACAATGCCACTATGGTGAGACTCACCACAGCACCTGAAAGAGTGCAGATAATTTAAATACCATTTACACATTCAAAACGATAAACTTGTGCCTCAAGCCCAGGTATTTGTATAGTAAATAATCAGAAACAGTATATAGAAGTTGTCTTAATTTTACCATTCATGTTTTATTGTTTATGTGGAGCTTGTAAGAAATTACAAAATATAGAAATGTAGCAAATAAAAAACAATTTCACATTTTAATGCCCTTTCACCTTCTACTAAAATCATAAATATTTGAAAAGGGATATGGCAATTTAAGTAAATTCGGTACGTATTTACAAAATACAGCTACAAGTTCATACCAGCATTACCCGTATCAATGATTACAGTGGGAAGTTTAAACTTTACTTTTAAAGTTTTACTTTTCATAAAAATAGTATATGCCTTTAACAAAATAAAGTCAAATTCTTCCATAAAAGTTTTTCTTTTTTGATCTTGTAAAAATGCGCAGTATTATGTCCAGTGTTTAGACAAGATAACTTCACACACAAAATTGGAAGGAAAAAAGTATAAATGCATTTATGTACAAGGCATCCATTGCTACAAAGAAGCTACTCCTCAGTAGGCTAGTGTGTGTCTGCACTGTATATGCTGTATGTTGCCTTTATGGGTCTGCATATGCCCAGGTCTGTTTCACACCAGTGTGGGCACCATGCCAGTGTTTGGGTGATTGGTGTAGGACAGGTTGGCAGACGGGTGCAGGCCGGAGGGTGGGGGGAGGAAGTGAGGGGTGTGGCTATAGGAGAGCATTGACCCTGGACCCAGGGAGTAGGCGCCCCCGTGGTCATTGAGGGGGGGACCATTTGAAAGGTCAGGGTAATGCTCTAACATGGCGCTCTTCTTGCCCTTCTTGTTCTTGTTGGACACTTTACGGTTTCGCGTTTGGATACCGTCTTTCTTCATAGTAAGGGGTCTGTTGACCTGTCAACAGACAAGTGTGCCTTAAATTCACATACTTAAGTTAGTACATTCTCTTTCTCCGGTATTACCCTGATACTACTATACTAAAGGAGGTAGATTTTAAAAAAAAAAACTCTGTACCCCTTGGATTCTCTATTGAGGTTAGAGTTTAAGTTCAATGACTTGGGTTCAGAATCAGTAGCTTGGGGTTGTGTGGGGTTTTGCCTTTTCAACCACTGAGGCGGTGCTAGCTACAAGCTGGTAATAGTAGTTCTCTAGCTAATCCAGAACAGTCACTGTATCTTGTTCATTGACTCACGTTGTGCAGCTTGAAGTAGAGTCCACAGGCGTTGCACACGGGCTCACCCCTGGCGTTCCGTCTCCACAGTGTGGTGGTGCTGGTGTGACAGTTGGCACATTGTGTCCCGGCCCGCTTGCTGACAATCTGAAACAGAGAGAGAGAAAGATAAGTCAATTCTGTGGATTAAAGATAAGCTCCAATGTTTATTTGGATTCATTGTGTTTTTCGATCAATAGATTGGCATGTCCACACCATGGAATTTACAAATTATTATTATCATATCTTATCCAATCCTTATGCCGTATCACACCAGTCTTTTCTTTGGCCGGATCAGGGGACGGTTTTGGCCATTCATCTTGTGGTAAAGCCCACAGGCGTTACAGAGGTAGTGTCCTGTTCCATCTCGACGCCATAGAGGGGTGGCAGTGGCCCCACAGTTGACACACTCTCTGGCCTCTGCCACAAATCACAGACACACTACATCAGTCTCCTGTTCATATGCTCCCAAATAATTATCTGGAATCCCACAGGACGTTCAGAGGACAGAGTAAAATTACTTAGATGGGATAGCATGGATATGATGCATGATGCTCACTCACCTGGTGGGGGCAGCCTCATCTTATTACGTAGTTTGGGGGAGTAGGAGGAGGGGCTCATCCATGCCCCTGGGGAGGAGTAGAGGCCTGCCGTGCTGTAGTCCTGTGGAGAGGTCATGTACGAGCTGTAGGGGCCCAGCATGTGCAAGTGGGAGTGGGGAGATGGTGTGCACACACTCCCAGCAGCTGAAGTCAGATTCAGAAAACTGCTTCCACCACCTCCACCCAAAGGACTCAAGCGCTCGGCCTTCAGGGCCTCCTGAAGTCTGGGACTCTCGTTGCCATCCCTACCTAGAGAGGAGTACCCATCTCTGGAGGTGAACGTGGATGTGGCGCTGGAGGCATAAAGGGAGGTTGGGGTGTATGGGTGCAGAGGAGTCTTAGTGAAAGGGTTGCTGGTCCAGGTAGAGGATGATGGGTTGTATGGAGAGCTCAGAGAGTGGCTGCCAGGCCCGTCCAGCCATTGGAGGTTGCTCAGGAGAGAGGGCGAGGAGTACACCTGGCGAACTGTATGAGAGAAATACAATAGAAGGCCACAGTTGTCAGGGGAGTCCCTGATTACAGAAACTGTGCATTATTTTATATTCAATATGAATTTACACTATGAAAGGTCAACATACATTTTTTAAAGTTATGTTATGTTCCTCGCTTCTGACCTGAGCTCTGTCTGTAGGCTGTTGGAGCCCTGCTGTGGCTGGGATTGGAGAAGTAGGAGGGCAGGCTGGTGAAGTCAGTCTCAGGGTTGGATAAGAAGGGCTCTCCCTCCTCTCCTGGAGGTAGTAAGCCAGGCTCTGAGGAGAAGCTGGCCAGGGGATCAGAGCTGAGCAGAGCCGGAGACACCCAGTGAGACTGTTCAGAGGAATCCTCCATGCTTACAGAGATAACCACTGACTCTGAAACAACAGAAAGGATTTGGAGAAACCTAGGCAGTCACAGTGAATAGATCCTAGTTGGAACCTGATTAGGACCTATAGCAACAACCAGACAGTACCAGCATCTCAGTAGGCTGATGTGATTTACAGTCAAGTGTTTACAAATACTGTTGTTTGTGAGGCTGACATTTTAAAGAAACACACGTAACTTCAAGACATGAAGGTCACTTGACAGCAGCAGGTTTTCAAACTTCCCTTTCAAGGATCCTCATTTGACTGTGGCTGAAAGTAGACCCTAAAAATAAATAGGCCTATCTGTAACTACAAACAGTGAACAAACGTTTGCTTACAACCAATGACCTTTATAGAAATTCCTATTATAAGTTTTGTCAAAACAGAATGTGAGTTCTAAGGAAAGGAAATCCAAATGTAAAAAGGAAATTGAAAAAAAGGTTCATTAGATGGAAATAATCTAGATGTTCAGCATCTAGATAATTTGATATACACTACCGGTCAAAGGTTTTAGAACACCTACTCATTCAAGGGTTTTTCTTTATTTTTACTATTTTCTACATTGTAGAATAATAGTGAAGACATCAAAACTATGAAATAACAAATATGGAATCATGTAGTAACCCAAAAAGTGTTAAACATATCAAAATATGTTTTATATTTGAGATTCTTCAAATAGCCACCCTTTGCCTTGATGACAGCTTTGCACCCTCTTGGCATTCTCTCAACCAGCTTCACCTGGAATGCTTTTCCAACAGTCTTGAAGGAGTTCCCACATATGCTGAGCACTTATTGGCTGCTTTTCCTTCACTCTGCGGTCCGACTCATCCCAAACCATCTCAATTTGGTTGAGGTCGGGGGATTGTGGAGGCCAGGTCATCTGATGCAGCACTCCATCACTCACCTTCTTGGTCAAATAGCCCTTACACAGCCTGGAGGTGTGTTGGGTCATTGTCCTGTTGAAAAACAAATAATAGTACCACTAAGCCCAAACCAGATGGGATGGCGTTTCGCTGCAGAATGCTGTGGTAGCCATGCTGGTTAAGTGTGCCTTGAATTCTAAATAAATCACAGACAGTGTCATCAGCAAAGCACCCCCACACCATAACACCTCCTCCTCCATGCTTTACGGTGGGAAATGCACATGCGGAGATCATCCGTTCACCCACATTGGGTCTCACAAAGACACGGCGGTTGGAACCAAAAATCTCAAATTTGGACTCCAGACCAAAGGACACATTTCCACTGGTCTAATGTCCATTGCTCGTGTTTCTTAGCCTAAGCAAGTCTCTTCTTATTATTGGTGTCCTTTAGTAGTGGTTTCTTTGCAGCAATTCGACCATGAAGGCCTGATTCACACAGTCTCCTCTGAACAGTTGATGTTGAGATGTGTCTGTTACTTGAACTCTGTGAAGCATTTATTTGGGCTGCAATTTCTGAGGCTGTTAACTCTAATGAACTTATCCTCTGTAGCAGAGGTAACTCTGGGTCTTCCATTCCTGTGGCGGTCCTCATGACAGCCAGTTTCATCATAGCGCTTGATGGTTTTTGCGACTGCACTTGAAGAAACTTTAAAAGTTCTTGAAATGTTCCGTATTGACTGTCCTTCATGTCTTAAAGTAATGATGGACTGTCGTCTCTCTTTGCTTATTTAAGCTGTTCTTGCCGTAATATGGACTTGGTCTTTTACCAAATAGGGCTATCTTCTGTATACAACATTATCACATTCACTGTAGTGGGTAATTGATGATATAATGTAACTGAGAGTGTTTCTAACCAAAACAAATGATACAGCTCTGAAAATAACAGAAGTAGTGTCTGCTCTGTAACACACAGTGCATGTTGTTTGTAGTAGAGACAATGTTGTACCATATCTTTATTAACTTGTGATAAGAGGAAAGAGGAGCCTGATAGGGTCTGATAGAGTCTGAGAAAATCAGATAGAGCACATTATTGTCAAACTAAATATACTCAGCACCAGTGATACGACGGAACACCAACCCTAATCTCATCTGATTAATAGAAATCTATTGTCACACAATTACTGCTGACGAACAGCCAGCGGACCATATAAAACCACTGTCATCTAACTTCTCTTAATAACAAAATAGTGCAGAATAAATCAATGCTATCACTGCAACAACAACAACAAAACAATTTCCTCTAATAATCACATTAGGAAAATAGTGACATTTTGCAATGGAATTTACTCTCATTGTATACCAGCCATTATGGCAAAAATAAATAGATGTCAAGGTTGTAAAGTAAAATTGTTCAAATTAAAAAGTAAATAAATTAAATGAAAAAGCTTGATAAATTCACATCCAACTCAAAGTACTATTCACGATGAAGAAAAGTACTATAGGTATTAGCAATAAAGACACATGCATGAACATCCATACACCATTACTCCACAACACATGTTGATAAGTGTACACTTGTCTGTGTAGAAATAATTCAACCATCTCCTCATTGACTGTAACTGTAGGATTACAGTTGTAGAGTTACCAAAATATAAAATTATCTAAAGAGGTCATTGCCACTCAGCACTACTATCTCACATATTGTTGCAGCCAATCAAACAACTAACGGTCTGGAGTAATGCAGAAGGCTAACTTCCACAGGTTTCAGGTTCACACCATTACACGTGTGATCATCCACTATCATTCAGGCTGATAGTGTGTACACTCTTAGAAAAAGGTGCTATCTAGAACCTTTAAGGGTTCTTCGGCTGTCCCCAGAGGAGAACCCTTTGAATAACCCCTTTCTACAGAGGGTTCTACATGGAACCCAAAAGGGTTATATCTGGAACCCAAAAGGGTTCTACATGGAATCAAAAAGGGTTCTCCTACGGGGACAGCCGAAGAACCCTTTTAGAACCCTTTTTTCTAAGAGTGTACAGTGGCACTGTAATGTGACAGCAAAGCTGCACCTACCTGAGGTCCTTGTGAGGAGTGGATGTCAAAGGTGAGTAGAGTAGGGCTGCAGTACAGGATACCCAGCTAGGTGAGAGGTTGAGAGAAAGCACAGCCTGAGGTTCCAGTGTCTGTATCTATGTCTGTGTGGGCAAATCACCAGAAGAATAACTGAGGTCTAGTACCCCTCGAAAAACTGACTGAGGTTAACGTTAGAAAGGGAGCGATGGGAGGGGTTAGGGAGAACTCTTTTGAAAGACACACCTCCTGGTCCAGCTATACCAAGAGACATCTAATTTGTCTGCTAGGGTAGACTCACTACAGTCAGTGACAACTAGAAATTGTCAGCAAATATATACCCAGAAACTCATTTTCATCATTATTTACCTCTATGTTATTGACAGGATTGGTAAACATGAACTTTTTTACATTATTTTTATACGATTTATGTCATGGAACTGTTGTATAAAAAAGGGGAGTTGACAGGTATTAAAATGACAGGTGTGTATTAATGTGACTTGTTTCAGTTATATCTAGACCAATATCTTGGAATAATAAGATATGCAAGTCAGAATTTCACTGCCTCCATTGGACTTCGGTGCTTTGAAACGTCTTCTCAGTATTTGCTCCTGAATTACAATCTTTATTGAGTAATGCAGTCAGCTTAGAGCAGGGACTTTTTTGTCTGTTGATGGATATGCATACAATGCTGATAAGACCAGACCCACATGGAAAAAGGAGACGGGCATTTAAACAAAGCAAATAAAAAATGCAAAGAATACATTTCTCTGTGGTTCAGCACAGCTTAGAGTGGAGGACAGTAATGCAAATCGGGAGAGGTGCTGCAATCATTGAGAGAGATATGGTCTGGACACAGGCATGCTTCAGACAGGCCTCACTCACAGTCATTTGGTAGTCAAAGCATCCCCCACTTTCCTCCTCCTTTGTTCATTTACAGTTTTCAGGGAAATTAGGAGAGAGTTAGAGAGAAGTGAACCTTTTAATTGCACGAGAAACGCATCCTACTGTAGCTCACTGCTTGTAACTGTCTTTTTGAAGTGGAACAGACTTTACCTGAACAACTGCTGTATAGTCCCTGTTCCTACCATGGTGATAGAGAGCATTCAAATACACAATATTGAAATTAAAACAATTCTGAGGAAATATACAGTATCGATTGATGAATGAAGCATTAAATCCAAAGTCGGGGAGATCCTTTTCAGCCTTATGGCTCACTCAAAGAAAGAGATAAACAATGAAGATGAGAGAGAGAGGATGAGGTCCTCCTGACTGTGTTCAGCTGGGTTTGTGTGAGGAAAGGAGAGTGGTGGAGAGTAGTGGCGAGGGATGTGGCTGGTGGTAGTCTGTCAGCGAGCTGCTTGTCTCTGATAAGAGGTTATCAAGATGAAAGGGGGAGGCCAGGAATTACACTGTCACCCAGCAAACACAGAGGAACAAAGGCACCCTGCAAAGCCATGCCACTCATAATACATATGTACATGAGCAACAACAACAACAAAATTACACACACAAATATACATCTCTGTCTTTGCACTGGCATGTGCAGTAAAAACACACACACAGAAATATATCTGTAACGGAAAAAGTATAACCTATATTATACAGTTAAGCAGTTCTATCATATAGTTATGAAATTATGATGGGGGGTGCAGGGGAGACAGCGGGTGGCCATTGGGGTCAGACCTCCAATTCCCAAGAAACCGTCTTCTATGTATGCAGTAGTCTTATCTTTACCACACAGAGGCTGCTGAGCCATTCTCAGACACTAGTATACACCCGGGACTACAGCCTCTCTCCCCCCCCCACCCCCCCCCCCACCTCTCTGTGTACATGAAATACATGAAGTGTGCGCTGTCAGAGAAACATTGCCTAGGGCATCTACACAGTTATAACAGTAAAAACTGGGATTATTACACAAATCATTTAAATTATTACTAATTAAATATTTACTCAATAATGGTCGATCACAAATTATAGGCTGGTACCACACCCCAACTGTCATAAAACCCTGACACACCCCAACATATTTGTGTGTAAAGAACTCTAAGCAAGGCTAATGTCTGCGCTTCATCTGATAAATGCAAGATATGCATGTCTTACACAGGCCCTGGAAGAGAAGAGCACATCTTAGCAACAGCCAAAGATCATATTCACAGAGCTTTGTTTTTAATATATTTTAAAACATTTTTTTGCAGTTCTCCAATTAGCAATTGTTATTCTAAATATAAAAATCAGAACAACAAAGATTTGTTCTACTGTTGCAAGTGCTTGAAACACCATAACATACCCTTTTACTGTCTAATTGTATCTTTCCTATTGGAAAAGATAAGATATTTCTTATTTGATACTCTGTTAGCCCCATCTTTTACAGATATTATGAAAATGATATAAAATGTTGAATGTATTTATCAAAAATAAGATCAAATCTTGAGTGTATAATATGATATGCAATCTTGATTAATCATGGCATGGTGATGATGGTGATGGTGACGTTCAGCACACCTTGGAACAGAGAGAGCTGATAGAACCCTAGCAAGATTCCTAAAATCCTTGTGTAGGCCCATATATTACATCATATGACAGACCACCCTCTGGTGGTGGAATTGTTTCAGTGGCTGGGGTTCTTTCATTTCAAGTTGTCTTCATTCAATGGTTAATTGGCTTCATTCACTTTCATGTAATTGACTCCGTTGTTGAAACACTTGCCAAGGCGCCAGGCTTCTAGTAGCTTACTGCACTGGGATGGGATTGTCTGCACCGCAGTGAATGCAAGATTGAAATCTCAGGAATAAAAAAAACAAAAATGTAACGCCTATTGTTAAAGAAACTTTAGTACAAATTGTTCAAGTTAATAACCAGCTGAATAAATGAAGAAAATAAATGTGGACAAAAAACGAGGAACATTGTGTTTCGAACGCTGCTTGCACCCACCCGCCCGACTAGAATCACTACTCTCGGCGGGTCTGACTTAGAATATGTGGACAACTACAAATACCTAGGTGTCACATTAAGCATCTCCAATCCAAAGTTAAATCTAGAATCTGCTTCTTATTTCGCAACAAAGCCTCCTTCACTCATGCTGCCAAACATGCCCTCGTAAAACTGACTATCCTACCGACTTCGGTGATGTCATTTACAAAATAGCCTCCAACACTCTACTCAGCAAATTGGATGTAGTCTATCACAGTGCCATCCGTTTTGTCACCAAAGCCCCATATACTACCCACCATTGTGACCTGTACACTCTCGTTGGCTGGCCCTCACTACATATTCGTCGCCAAACCCACTGGCTCCAGGTCATCTATACATCACTGCTAGGCATATCCCCGCCTTATCTTAGCTCATTGGTCACCATAGTAACACCCACCCGTAGTATGCGCTCCAGCAGGTATATCTCACTGGTCATCCCCAAAGCCAACACCTCCTTTGGCCGCCATTCCTTCCAGTTCTCTGCTGTCAATGACTGGAACGAACTGCAAAAATCTCTGAAGCTGCAGACTCTTATCTCCCTCACTAACTTTAAGCATCAGTTGTCAGAGCACCTTACTGATCACTGTACCTGTACACAGCCCATCTGTAATTAGCCCACCCAACTACCTCATCCCCATATTGTTATTTATTTTGCTAATTTGCACCCCAGTATCTCTATTTGCACATCATCTTCTGCACATCTATCACTCCAGTGTTAATACTAAATTGTAATTATTTTTGCACTATGGCCTGTTTATTGCCTTACCTCCATAACTTACTACATTTGCACACACTGTATATAGATGTTCTATTTTTATATTGTGTTATTGACTGTACGTTTTGTTTTACCCCATATGTAACTCTGTGTTGTTGTTGTTTTTATCGCACTGCTTTGCTTTATCTTGGCCAGGTCGCAGTTGTAAATGATAAGAACCAAAGACAAACGTGAGATAAAATCTATAACGTAAATCTATAATTACCTCAGATCTTGGATTTTTTTAAAACCTTTAACCAAAGTTGTTGCCATTGTTGAATATGTTTACAGAATTTGATGGGACATACATAGCAGGTAAATTGAAGACAGGGAAAGGTGCAGGCAGTCAGGCTGTTTTCAGATAGGATCCGCTACGAGACAGCTGAACTCATGACAGAATTTGAAAATCTCTGCAATTCTGGATAAGTCCGAAAAATTATATTAGACAATGCTGGCCAATGTATGTTTGTCATTATTTATAGTTGCCATATGTGCCCCATAGTGCGACTTTTCTCTGGAAAGGAGCTTGTAAAGGGTAGATCACTTTATCTTTGGGAATCCCCTCCTTTGTTTCTGAGATGCAACATAGGGTCAAATTAGGCTACTGGAAAAAAATTAAAACGGTGTCAAATTACTATAAAGGTAATAGTTTTCGGACAAGGTAGGCCTATAGCCTATTGTTTATGATAGCACAGTATCAAATAATGTTCATATCATAAATTCAATTAATCAATGATAATTGCATCCATATCACTGTTGTGTAAAGTGAACTGTCATTCAATTTTGTGTGTGACCCAGTCCCAAAATGAGGTGAAAGGGGAACTCAGTGTGTGCTCAGGGTGGGAAAATCCTCCTTCATGAACAGATACAGTATGTAAATCATCGCTTCACTAACATGTACCGAGCAACCATTGGGACTGACTTTCTCACCAAAGAACTGAGCCTAGATGGAAGTGCAGTCATTCTGCAGGTGAGTACTTGTTTGTGGAACTTATCTTAATTATGTCCAATCTGTCCCAACACATTAAGTAATTGAATAGCTGTCGACAGTGGCTGCTACTGTCTTGTCTCAACTCATAACCAGACTGATATTGGTCTCTCCCTTCATTCAGATCTGGGACACTGCCGGGGCAGAGTTTCCAGTCTCTGGGTACGACCCTGTATAGGGGCTCTCACTGTTGCCTAATTATGTTTAACATTACATCAGAGACCTCTTTCTCTGCTCTGGAGGTTTGGAGAAAGAGTGACCTGACTGACTTTCCATTCATTGTGATAGGTAACAAGACTGAGCTGAGCAACAAACGTGAGGTCAGTCACTGAACATTAGGGTACATCTTAATGATCTTCAGTGTTTTTTCCTCATCTTCTCCTTCCTGTATTGACACTGATCTGAAAACACAAGATAGGGGAAAACAGTAGCAGCGAATGCCCTGACCCAAGGCTAACCTACCAGATATTTGCCTTCA